TGAATTAACCATATAGTTTGTTTCTTTAGGAAGAAATGGTGTCTGAAAAATTAATGATAATTTAAAATATGTTTAGAGAAAACCAAGCTGCAGTATTCAGTACAGTAAAGAAAATTTCTAGTACAATATATATCAAAATTTCCCTCAGATAAGGGAAACCATGTACAATGAAAAGACATTAACCTGGAAGTCTCTCTCCATCACTACCCTCTATCATGCTGCCCAAATATGCTTCTTAAGTCACACAATGCTACTTGAAATTTCTTGAACATAGCACATTTTTGTAGCTCAATAACTTTGTAAATGGGGGTTTTGATACATGGTGAGATGTTACTGATGCCCCAAGATTTTCCTCAAATTTTTTTTTCCCTGTGAAGTGATGTCCTTTGGCCCCTATAATACTTTGCACTTGCCTGTTTTATTTACTTACCACATTGTGTTCCTTTCCTAGTTTACTTTTTTTTCTTCCTCATTATGGCCAATATACTCTTATTCATTATATGCAGAGGACCTGGGCAAAAATGTCTGATACTTTGGAAAATATGTATATTGATGATATCAAGATTAATGAATATTAAAATGCCTATAAAAATAATCTCAAGCAAATGTAACCAAACTTATATGTAGTTATATAAATTCTATTTAATGTAAGATGTGAGTGCATTTTTTTTAAAATTCTCACCCAAGGATATGTTTTTATTGATTTTTAAAGAGAGAAGAAGGGAGGGGGAGAAAGAGAGAGAGAGAAACATTGATGTGAGAGAAACATCAATTGGTTGCCTCCTGTACACACCCCAAGCAGAGATCAAACTTGTAACCTAGGTATGTGCTCTAATCGGGATTGAACCTGCAACATTTTGGTGTACAGGATGATGCTCCAACTAACTGAGCCACCTGGCCAGGGCTGTCAGTACATTTTAATGTTTCATATGATGTCATATGGTTTGAAAAAACTAAATGACTGGAGCCTGAGTTGGCTCTGTGGCCCCTCCACATTTTAAGAGTAAAAATTGTGTTTGACTCACTTCATTAATTTTCCATTCACAGTTTACATTCAATGTTATTTTTCAATGTATTAATTTCAGGTTTGCAGCATAATGGTTAGATAACCATATACTTTACAAAGTGGTCCCCCTGTATTTCAGGTAGCCATGTGGCACCTTACATTGTTATTACAATATTATAACTATATTCCCTATGCTGTACTTTACACCATTGTGTCTATTTTGTGACTACCAATCTGTATTTCTTAACCCCTTCATCCTTTTCAACAGCACCTCAACCCATACAGTGAACATATGAGTGCACATCTGCTTTTGAATTAATGTTTTAGGCTTTACATATATACCCAGAAGTAGAATTGCTGGATAAAGCAGATCTATTTTACATTTCTGAGGAACTTTTATACTGCTTTGCATAGTGGCTTCACCAATCTGCATTCGCCCCAACAGCCCATGAAGTTTGTCTTTTCTCCACACCCTGGCTAGCATTTGTTTGTTGATTTATTGATGATAGTCATTCTGACAGGTGTGAAGTGATATCTCATTGTGGTTTTAATTTGCATTCCTCTGATGACTAATGAGGTTGAGCACCATTTTAAAACAATTTATCTTTATTGTTGAAATTATTACAGATGTCTCTCCTTTTTCCCCATTGACTCCTTCCTCCCCACTCCCCCCATTTTCACCACACTATTGTCTGTGTCCATTGGTTATGCATCTATGCATATAAGTTCTTTGTCTTATCTCTTCTCACCCAACCCCCATCTGTATGTCATCTTTGGAGAAATTTCTATTCAGGTCTTCTACCCATTTTTCAATTGGATTTGTGTGTGTGTGTGTTGAGTTGTATAAGTTCTTTATAAATTTTGGATATTAACCCCTTATCAGATGTATCATTTGCAAATATTTTCTCCCATTTGATAGGTTGTGTTTTTGTTTTATTGATATTTCCTTTGTTACACAAAAACCTTTTAGTTTGATGTAGTCCCCTTTGTTTATTTTTTTCTTTTGTTTCCCTTGCTTGTGGAGATATGTCAGAAAACAATTTGCTTAGAAAAGTGTCTGAGATTTTACTGCCTATGTTCTTTATTTTTCTCTCTAGGAATTTATAGTTTTAAGTCTTACATTTAAGTCTTTAATCCATTTTGAGTTTATTCTTGTATGTGGTATAAGAAGGTGTTCTAGTTTTATTTTACTGCATGTATCTGTCAAATTACCCAACACCATTTATTGCACAGACTGTTTTTACCCCATTATATGTTCTTGTTCCCTTTGTCATATGTTTTACTCACTTTTATAATTCCGAAGTTCAATGGCAGTGACTGGCATACGGCATGCACCTAAATATTGGTGATGAAATTCCTAGAAGTTATAAAAAGTCTATACGTATCACCTGTCTGAATAAAAGACTATATTAAATGAATATAGCCCAGTATATCATAATGGTTAAGAATATGGCATTGCAGTTCCTCCAAACCTGAGTTTGAGATGTGATTCTGTCACCTGTTAGAGGGGTGACTTAAGGTTAGTAATGCATTTCTCTAAACATAAATTCTCTCCTCCATTGAAGGGTAATAGTAGTAACTATCTCTTAGGATTTTTATGAGGATTAAATGAGATAATGCATGTTGAACACTTAACATAGTGCATGGGTTATTGTTATTTTTACTAAAACTAGGCAATGGTAACTTTAACATAAATGGCTACATTTATATTCAAATCTTTAGATAGCTTTAAGTCTTGTTAGCCAATTTAAGGAGAATAGAGATAAAAGAGGTCATAGCATACAGTTTTCTCTAAATTCTCATTTTTTACCAGCAACAGATTGTAAAAAAATAAAATAAAATAAAATGCTGGAATAAGTCAAATTTTTAGGTGTTATGTAAATTTTTAAAAAGTGATGGTGATAAAAGCTTTCTTATTCTCAAGATAACATGCATGAAAACAATTTGTGATTCAGGATAGCAATACGCGAATGTCTTTAAGCCAACTAACTCTTTGTGACACATTGTCCTTGCTTTCTAAAGTAGGCCTCATCTCACTTTTAATGTGTGAAAGGAGAGATTATTCAACACAGTGGTAGACACATTTTTGTTCTCAAGAACACTGCGATATCATTAATCTTCTGGCACGCCTGCAAAGGCGGGTTATGTGAATGCTAGTCTTTTGCAAGGCTATAAATAAAGTTTAAAGAGAGAAAGAGACAGAAAGAAAAGATGTTTTCCTGAAGCTTCTATTGCCACAGTACGGACTACATTAAGGGTGCAATAACTTACCGGTAATAACACTTTTAAAATCCTCTTTATGGGTTTTTAACATCTGTCTAGAAAAATCCAGCCTAAAAATAGAATCTGATCTTGTAACACAGCTTTCTCAAATTGGGTTATCCTAAACACTCTCCTCATTGAATAGTCGCATATGACTATTTTAGAGCCATATTTCTGGGTATAGCAATGCTTTATTACATATATCACATGCTTAGCACCCCTGTGAGATACTGCTATATAAATTCACGTATTAGGGTGTGTGTGTGTGTGTGTGTGTGTGTGTGTGTGTGTGTGTGAGGGGGCAGGGGGAGGGAGAGAGAGAGAGAAAGAAGTGTTTTTTCATGTATGGAAAAGCTTCTGTAAAAATAATGTTTTGCCTCTTTGGGTTTTAAAATATAAAGCAAAACAAAGACACAAAATTTCTCCCACTTTTATGTTAGGAATTGTATTCTATTCGTAAGTCTAATAGACCCAAATTTCATAATTATCCATATTTAAAAGTTGAATCACATTTGCTTTTATTTTAAAATGTTTTAAGGAATAATGCTTGAATGCTAAATGCTATATGAGCATGCTCGTGGAGTATGATTACACAATGTATGGACTTAATTTTCCTATCAAATTAGAATAGCTGGTAGCATTTTTTGGTTCTAGCAAAGGCCTCTTTCCGATAGTTCTTTAGTCGGCAAGACTCCCGCTGACTCCGTGAGACCAGGCACACAGCCGGTAAGGTGCCACAGATTGTTGTTCACAGCAGTTTTCATTCTGACTTTCAGAGGGAAAAAAATTAAAAATTAGTAAAAAAAAAAAAAAAGCCAACTTGCTTATACTCTAGTTATGTCTTGCCTTGCCATGTACCCTTTGAAGATTTTTTTTTCATAATGTTTTGGAATTTGGGACTTTCAAACAGTTTGTATGTGACAAACTAAAGACACTGCAATTAGAGCCTCTTTGCTATTCAGTTTTCAAGAGATATATGTTGCTAATTAAGCACTAACATCTCCGGCAGTTTTTCAGGTGAAGTAAACTTTTAGGTTGGGGACAGTCATCTGACACTGCACACTCATAACTGGGCTTCTTATGGCTCTTTGCTGAGCCCCCCGACGTTTAGAGGCTCATCTGGGGCTTGTGACGACAGTCATTTCTCTACTGGTCCTTGCATGGCTCCACTCTCACACGGCTCACATCTGGGAGCTCGTTACGTTCTGTAACAGATTAGTACAGAGCAGCCTGTAGAATTCCTCATGCAGGAAGCATACAAGTGGAGTTTCCATTCCATTTGCCTGAAGAGTTAGAACACAGACCTAGATCTTCTCCCCAAGACAAAGAAGAACCCTCAGGATTCAGCCTGGCCATTGGAAACCGAGTCTTGACCATCTTGAGGATGGTGATGTTAGTGAACTAGTAAATACGGTTCCAACACACATTGCAAATATGGCCTTTAGGAGGTTACTTACCTCTAAATTGCAGAAGCAAATAAAAAGAAAGGGAAAATAAAGGGAACAGTAATTAACATTTGTGAAGTACTTATTATATATAATTAATTAAAAATTACCTCATTTATTACTTAAAACATTTCTATGAAGTGTCTTCCCTATTGGACAAGAAAGGTGGCACATTTATTGAGACAGGTTAGGTAACGTTCACAACCTCACAATGACTAAGCGGTCGAGAGCCAGGGTTAGAATCCATGTTGGTCAGATTCTAAAGCTCTCATTCTTTTCTCAACCAGGATCAACAGGATTGACCCAGGATCAAAAGGTGAGTGAAATCAAATTTCATTTCACGGTTCCTCTTCCCCTTCCATAAACTTCTCTTCCCTTTTGGTGGTTCCTATTCCTATCTACTGCCCCATTCCCACAGGTCTTACTTTGCCAACATCCTTGCTTACTCCCAACATAAATGTTGACTGAAAATAACACTAGCTAATTGTACTTGTCTGATAGGTGTTTGTATTTTGGTAAATACAAAATACACTAAAACGCCTGTAAGATAGAAAAGAATGTACTGAAGACAACATGGTAGCTGGAGAAGGGTGAGGGACACAGCTGCATCTTCTCAGAAAGGGGCTCGGAGCCTGAGGAAACTCAGTATTTCCTCCTTGAATGTTTTTATACATATAATATCAATAAAAGACAACCACCAGAGCAAATTGGAAGGCAAAAAAAGTTACAGACTATAGCTTAAGAGGAGAAATGTGGTCAGGGTAGGGCAGAATAATTTCTTTGCTCTTTACATAAATCTTAGTTTCTCTTCACCCATTTCCACTTTATTTCAGTCCACTGAAGACTGTGTAGCAAGACAAGACTTCAGGACACTTACCCAGGATGACATTTCCGCTCACTGTCCTTGAATAGGGCTGCTTCCTGCTGAAGAGACTGGCATCTGCTGCCCACAATAGGGTACAGGTTGGCTTGAGATGACATCTGCCCTGCAGGTGATGATAAAGAACCCTTTTTTGCCCTGACCAGTTTGGCTCAGTGGTCAGAGCGTCGGCCTGTAGAGCAGAGAGTCACGGATTCGGTTCCCACTAAGGGCACGTACCCCAGTTGCAGTTTGTCCCCGGCCCTGGTTGGGGTCATGTGGGTGGCAACCAGTCAAAGTGTCTCTCTCACATCAATGTTTCTCCCTCTCTTTTCCTCCCCTTCTCTTTCCCGCTCTGTCTGAAGATAAATGCAAAAATGTCCTCAGGTGAGGATAAAAACAAAACAAAACAAAACTTCTTTTTTTCCCCCTAAAACTAATATTTGCTGACACAATGTTAAGGAATCTTGATGTAAACTTGCTATATTTTCAAATGTGTGGAGAAAACAAGTCCAGAAATAAAAATTAATTTTTGAAAAAATTCATAAAACAGCAGAAAAAATTATTCACTACTCTAACATACCAATTGGTATATGTTGTAAACCTTCAATAGCTATTTTCTGTGAATATTTATTAAGATAATTATAGTCATAACTCATATTTTAAAATTTTGCTTCTCCCCCCAATATTATGACATCATCATTTTCTGTGTCACTAAACAGTCTTCATTAGTTAGGCTAATTTTTTTTTCTGGGAAAATGGGCTATCTCTCTCTCTTTTTTTAATGGCAAAGATGGTAGTTCTATTGTACATTTATATGCATAATTGAATGCATTGTAGGCATTAAATAAATGGCAATATAGTCCAGCCACAGATTTTAAATACTACTTAGTTATCTAGATACTTCACTTAAACTCTCAGATAATTGTTAACATCATCTCATTTTTAAATGTATGAAATCCTACCACTTATTATACTTAATTGGTTTATCAACAGTATTGTTTAGAAGGAAGAGAACAAATACAGTTGACATAAAACATCCAAATAAATAATCATTAAGTTTAGATAGTTTTTTACTATTGATTGCTATTGTACATATTTTCTGATAATTTCTTTTACACTAAAGAATGTCTTTGGGCTATTTGCAGCTGTTGTGCCTGGCCTTGCCCCAGTAGAGGCAATCTGTGGGAGAGAAGGAGACAAATTGTAACACTGTCCCTTATCAAAGGACCACACAGTTGTTGGCCACTTTGACTCCATGGTAGATAGTTATCTTGAGGTTTTACGGATGTAAAGCTAAAAGTTTAGAGGAAAACAGTGCAGATGCCCAGTAGCCCCTTGTTATTGACACTTACTTGATAACGCGGGGTTCATCAATCTTATCTATCGCTTTTAGCTTCAATTTTGTTTTCTGTGTAAGCTTCATTTTTGCCACCTCATCAGATTGACAAGAAGACTTGTCTGAGGGAGAAAAGATGAAAAGTAACTCTTTTCCACGTTATTGATTTTACCAAACAAACTTCTGTGTGCGTATCCTGAAGATAGATAAACACATACCCACTTCCTGTGCATAGCGTGTATATGTTTTTCAAGTTTTGAGGTAACGAATGGTTGGAGAAAGAAAATCGATTTTGGGGATCAAAAGTCAAATAATTATCTTTGTCTTGGTGAAAACATTGTCCTTAAATTATTTTGTTTGCTTTTTCAGAAGCAGCACATATTGGTCATTGATTATTCCACTTTCCATGTTTCCTCAATATTTGCCTTAGTTTAGTGATGGACAACTATTAGATATTACATTGAAATATTTATTTGAATATCTAATTGGATTGCACATATGGTAAATAAATATGATAAATTTATATTTGGTCGTAAGAGATTGATGAATTGTTGTAAGATCTGTTGATCTGCCATGCCTGAATTCCTCAAGCTAAAAAGAATGGAGGAGAAAAGTCTTCTTTTCATGACATTTTATTATTCCAATTTGTGCATGCGATGGCAGAAAGAATCAGAATTCTTGCAAAGATTTTTTTAATATTTGAAAACTTTTGTTTGTCAGCTTTATTGAGATGTAATTTACATATTATAAAATTCACCAATTAAGACTGCGATTCAGTGAGTTTGGCAAATGTATACTGTTGTACTATCATGAGAGCAATTTGATATAAAACATTTCTATTACTACTCAGAAGTTCCACTGTGGCCCTTTGTAGTTACTACCTTGAAGCCCCCACCCTGTGGTCCCTGGTACTCAGTGGAGAATACAGATCACTTCGTGAATTTAAATGTCATCTATGTGCAGAGGGCATGATAGTCCCTTAGTATTGTTCCTGTTACAGTATTTGTGCTGCCAAAATGAGCCTTTACAGAGTTCTTAGAAGAAAAATATGACTACATTTACATTCGTTTGTAAACTTTTTACAGCATTCATTTATTAAATCTGCTAAAATAGTTCCAGTAGTAGGTTAGAACTATATGAATACCTTAGACAAAAAAAGTCAGCAATTTCCCAGTGCCGTGCCAGACACAGCAAAGCATAGTATTCAAGGTCCTGTCCTAGTCACATGTCCGACTCATACCTCTTATTTAAGAACTGAGGTGTTAATTGATAAGCAGCTTTCTTTAATCCTCTCGTATTTTGTTACCTTAAGAATACTTTTGTTGCTGAGCTTTTGAAACAGAAAGTTGATTGACTCTATGCCTCAGCTAAGTACTTTATCCCAAAACAAAGTTCTAAGTCTCGAAGAACTGTTGAAATAGTTTTCAAGTGTGGAAGAGAAAAGCAAGGCAATTTAATTTACTCTCTGGTTTGGCAAATGACTACAAAGCAGGAAATGATAAGTGCGTGAAAATTGCTGTACGTACGCATGGTTGACAATTTTATTCCATTACATGTGAAGAGATATTAAGTGTAAGAACATTGTTCACTGTGTACAAATACAAAGTGTTCTTATTGTTGGACACTATCAGTGTACGTACACTGTGTAGATAATTTTAGCCAGAATAAATGTAGCATTTCAGTTATTAGACTGAGATTTTTATTATTTGTTTGTTTTTTAACTAAAAATGGGTGAACATAAATAAAGCTAGAACACGTGTATGTGCCCAAAAAGTTGGAAATGAATGAGAATCTACTGTAAATACTGTGTTGTACTCGTGTCTTAAACTCTGAGGATATCATTTGGTTATTCATATTTGCATTTGGTTCTTTTAAAGATGATATGAAAATATTAGTATATCAATAATGAAATATTAATAAGACGTGGATAATTTACAGTATGGACATCACAACAAATCTAAAAATGCATCACTTGCAAGACTGAAGTTATTTAGTTAAAGCTGTGGAGAAGCTGGAGGGTGGAAGCAATGATTTTTGAAGAAAATATGTTTTTTAGCTTTTATATTTTTTTAATTGTACCTTTTTACTGCTATTAATAAGCTACATCTTCTAAAGAACCCTTAGAAATCTACACTATATCCTTGGAAAGCACAAGCAGAAGATGTTAGTTAAACAAGAGTGAAAACCTGTATTACCTTTCTTGGAGTTATTAGGAAAATAAGTGAAATTTAATTTGCATTGTTTTTTGTTTACATATTGGGAAAAGTGTGCTTCCCGAACCTCAGATCTTACACTCAGTGCTTCTAGTGATTTGAAACTAATAAGATGCTCAAAATGCTTCAGAACCCCAGAGAATGCCTACTCCTATTATTTTCCCATTAAAACGCTAGAGCCCTGAGGTATATGGTTTTATGCAGATAAATGTTGGGTAAATAGCTGAACTTCTGGGCATATCTGAACCCACATTATGAATCATGCAGTCTGTTCTCCCTGGTTAGGAACTGAAGAATTTAGCTTTCCATCCGTATGGTTGTCTTTTCCAGAGGCTCTTTGTCTTTGTTTTAAGCACATCTAAGCTCAGTGGCACACGATGTCATAGAGCTAGTGCTGTAAGGAATGAAAACTACTGGGAGGTGAGCACACTGCTAAGATTTCATGCAGCCCTCCCCGCTGTGATAGCAGTCGGCCACTCAGAGCAGCAGGATGGGTGGAGCTACATCTGTTCTGTCACAGTCTTTCCTAAACCGAGGGGTGTGCCTGTGGTTTACTGCTGCCACATGGCTGGCATTGTTATTTCATAACCTGAAGCCCTTTCTTATTTCCCTCTTTACCCCGGAAACCTTCACCCCTGAGTGTTTTCTTTCCTTTTACCCTGACTCTCTAACAGCTGAACTACATACACGCCAAGTAGCGACACGAATCTCTGAGCAGAAGCTGCCACGAAACAATGCTGCTCCAACCAAGAAACACACATGTAGAGGCACATGACTGACAGGGCTCAAAAGGCAGGTTTCAGTAAATGACAAGTGTGAAGTTCTCATTGTTGCTCTGTCGATAGAAGCTCATATGTACACACACACACAAATTCACATTTCAGAACAATTCAGTGTAACTGGCAGCTTGGGAAAGAAAAGACTTAAAATCTCTTAAAGATGAAGAAGACAGGAGGAGCACGGGATCCAAAGCATCCTCTCACATTGGAATATGTTGGCATCTTTTGATTGGGTTTAAAGCTGGGATTTTGGAGAAGAAGCAGGAAAAGTTGAAATTATAAATTATTTTTGTTAGGAATAAGAGAGAATAAGAAAATGAAAAGAGCTGTTCATCTTTTATTTATTTTAAGCGTAATTCCATTCAGTGTTAATTACATAAAAGTCTAAAGAAACACATTATCCTTTTGTGGATTCTCATTGTCATTACTACAGAAAGATACAGCTATCTAGAAATACATGAAGAATATATGTGATGTCAATCCACTGTATGCAATCCATGTTGTGATAATTGCTAACAAAATGTCATGAAATATATAATGTGAACATTGCTTTTTATCAGTTAAATAATCTTATAAAGTGTTGCATTAAGAAAGAACATGATACTTTTCTATATATATCCTGTAGTAAATTCTGTCTTCTACTATATTTTCTACTGCTACTGGTCAATAAACCACTTAAATAACAAAAACCTTAATACAATGCAAGGAATCTTAGAAATGACCAAATCTGAACCTTTCATTTAATAGTTGAGAAAATAGGGTCAAAGAGAATAAATACATGTTCTTTTTGT